ATCTATTTGCCAACTTTCCAACACGACGGACGTCTTTTAGAATTTCAAAGAACTAGGTAGTCAGGTAGAAGAGACAGATCCTACCAGTCTCCCACGGAGGGAAGAGAGGCAGCATCACGTCAGCTGATAGTAGGCACTGGAGACTCTCCTGGTGGGAGAGACCACTGAAGCTCTCAAACTGTTGGGAAGCTTTGTTCAAAACATGCACCAAAACCAACCAACCTCCAGATCAATCAACTTCCTTAGCTCTGGGGCTCATGAATCTGCTCCTGGATAAATCATTTCAAAAATAACTCATAATGTTGCTTTTTGCATCACAAGTTATGCTAATTCAAAGCATGCCTGTCACACTAAGCGTTCAGGACTTGGTATCAGGACAGTAACTCCGTTTGTTGCATGCACCATTGCAGCAATGCCAGGGTTCCAAGGACATCCTGGCCCTTGGAGTTGGATCAAGTAGTAAGATTTATTCGTGCAGTCACCTCCAGAGATGGCCTGGCTACGTTACGATCTAATGGATGTTCACATCACCTTTCATGTTATGTTGATATAAATCTGTTTCATGCTGGAAAAGTCTATTTTATCTATTACAATGGTATATCACTTGTCAAATCTTTTTAGAATATCCCTTATGATTTCAAATGCCACATTTCTACCATGAAACTGCACAGCATTTATATTATTTACAGAGTTTTTTAACAAGTTGCTTGCTTTCTGTATTTTACCTCTATAGGAGAGTCAAAACCAATTCATATATAAATAAAACCAGAGCCACTACTACTGTATGTCCCCTAAATACTGTATAATTCCAAGCAAACAAACTAGATGATGCCCATCAATCGGTTCAGGGTGTCCGAGCAGGTGGGTACCTACCTGAAAATAGCCAGGATAAGATTTTAAGAGGGCTGAGTAACTACCACTCTAGTCAAGATCAGTGAGCAGGGTCCAAAGAAAAGATAACAAAATTCCGAAGTGGTAAATATGAAGTTTCATTTGAGTACTATTCATTCAGATGTAAGTGCTATGAATAGCTAACCTTGTGAAGCAGTTTGTAGACCATAAAAACTGGCCTCCAAGACTAGAACTTTGTCCAACTAACTTTGTCCAACTGGCAGTTTCATTTACTGTCAGCTCCAAAATGAAGTAAAGTCTTTCCAGAATAAAAAGGAAAACTGAAAAAAATTCTATTAAAATATCATTCTCTCTCCTACTCTTTTTTCATTATTTAAGATTAAAAGCTAAAAAAAATGTATGCGGATGTGAGATTGGAGTTTCAGTTATATTCTGCATTTAAATGTTTCAAATAAGACTGAGTAGCACGTATTACCTAATATTCTTGACACATTTTTTCAAGTGAGAGGAACTCCACAGCATTAGAAGTCAGGACACTGCCTATATGTTGGGTCACACTACTGTTACGTGTTGGGTTCAATTAAAATTATCTATAGATGTAACTAAATTCTCAGGGTTCTTGTCATCTTCTTTATTCATGTAGGAAAACAATGAAATAGATTAACAACTTGTTTCCTTAAATTTTCTATCTACGTTCGCTTCATATTTTAGTTAAGTTGACCTCAGGCCCTCTAGGCATTTGCGCAGTGCAGTTTTAAAAAATGAATGCACTGCACTACACTGTGCTGCACTCTTTACTGTTGGAACCATATGGCTACAAAAGCCTGGTCCACACTACAGTGGTCAGCATTGCAGGGGACCCAGATAAAAATCATCTGGCTCCAATCCACTTTAAATGCTGGAAGTTTTAGAGCAGGCCAGTTTTCTTACTGCTTGCCCCCCTACCTTTCGATCACTGGCTTTCTAAAGCAAAGCTCTGCAGAACAGCCAATATATTACATCTTTTGAAAATGTCCTTTGCATTGTTAACCGGCACACTCAGACCTCTGTACTTCTCCTTCAGAAAGCCCCAGATGCCCTGCACACTGTTTATATCCAACTGATGCAGAAGCAGGTACAGCTTCCATTCCCAAAGTTTTGCTGCTGATGCCTGACTACATCCTGCGCAAGCTGTGGTATCTCGAAGAAACTGCCTTCACTGAGCTCTCACAATTGTGAATCCCAGTTCCTTTATTTTCTCATGTCACCACAATGACTGCATTGCTATACATTTTCTTTGGCTAATAAATTCCAAAGTAAAAATGGTAGTAACACCCCTCTAAAAAGAAAAGCAGTAAATCATCTGTAAAGGTTTTACACAGTAGAATAGACTGTTATTACTTCATTCCTTTCCTAATCTGTAAACTTTATACAATACCCATTCTGTGAGTGTGCCAGAATCTGAAAGCAACAAAACACTTCAGACATAATGGACGTGAGAGAGAAGCAGGGAGGCAGCTTTAAAAAACAAAACAAAACAAAACAAAACAAAAGCATATGGCTGAACAATGCAAGCCCTGTGCAAAGATCCAGCCTGCCTGCCACGCACTCTGTACAGCCTGTTCTCTACCTTCTGCTCTCAGCAAACAGCCGTCCCCTGGAAGTGTGCCATGCCCAGTCCCAGTGTCGTTCCCAGGACACAGCCCTCTTACCACCATCACAGGGGGCTGTGCTTCTCCCACATAAGCTCCCTCCTGATCACCTGACTGGTCCTGTGAACAGCCAGTATTTTCTGCATCTTCTCAGTTCTGTGACGCATCTATTGTCATCTCCTGCTGCTGAGGTTACATCCACAGAGCTGCTTCTCCTTCCTCTAGTACTGCATCATTCAACTGCAAAGGTTGTGTAAAGTAAAACATCTGTCCCGTGTTCCTCTTTCTGTCCATATCTGAAAAAAACTCTCTATTATCCTCAACTGCACCATGAGAAACGACACCCCTGAATTTGATGGCAACTGCTTAGCCATCATCTTCCACTTTTCTTCCTTTCCCTGAAGCAGCTTAAAGTGGATTTAACAAAGAACAAGAACGATGAAAAGGCTCAATATAAGAGTTTGAGAAATACGTTTTGTAAAACTTTCAAACATATAATATGCAGCATAGAGCATAGGGGATACTTTGAAACTGATTTGCATTTGATGATGGATACTCTCCAGGTACATTAAATTTACCTGGAGTCTTGCAGTCTGATCTGTGCCCCTATGCAAGTCTGGATTGGGGTTCAGTTGGAAAGTTTGTATATCCTGACTAGAAGGGCACACAGCTTTTGAAACGTAACGACTCAAACAGTGTTTCAAATATGAAGAACTAGATTTGATTTTCCACTGTTGGATTACATCTTTTAAAAGTGTATACAAACTATTACTAAATCAGAACAGCCAAGTTTTATTTTGCCAAGATACCAGTAACTACAAATAAAAGAGCATAGCAAAAGCAATTTCCTTTCTGTTGTACATCAGAACAAGAGTCAAGTTGCTATATTAACTGGTTTGCTTTTGGAGCTATGATAATGTAGGCAGTCTACTTGTAGTAAATGCATAAAATGCATAAAAAGCTTTATATATGGATTTTGTAATTGATCTGTTGCCCTTAAACTTCAGGCCTCAATACGAGATTTTTTTCTTCATGGATAATAGATTAATGTGAGAGCTCCAGGGCAGCACTCATCCTCCTCTCAGACTAGCTATGGGGCAGGACTCACATGGCAATTCTTCCATCTTAATAAAAATAATAGCTTCTGTATCCTTAAAAGACCAACTAATAATCACACTTTTGTTCTGTGCTGATAACTGAAAAATATGTATTATGTCCAATCCCTTTTGGTCTAACGCTTCCCTGAACACAAACTGTACCGGGGAAGCCAATGAAAAACCCAGTTGACCACACCACTCTGGCATCATCTGTTGACTCTTGGTTAAGAATTAACATGCCTTTTATCAAAATGACAGATTTATAGGCAATTGTTTCCTGCTCCTTCACTATCTCATAGCACAAGGAAGAGGGTAGCAGCCTCCTCTTGTAGAAGACAGTGCTGCAGGTGCCTCACCCTGACAGGGAAGATGGCACACTGCAGTGGAGCGCCCACCATGGCTTCCCTGCTGGCTGTCAGGCTGCAGTGGAGAAAGAGCTGCGTGGTTATAATAGCCTGGCAGTGACTAAAACCTGTGTGGCTCCTGCCCCCAGCAGCAGCACCCCACAGTGTGGGGGCTATCTGGCCACCCTGCCTTGGAGCTCTGCCTCCAGAGCTTTCAGCTAAAGCCCTAGGCTAGTTAATGATCCCCCTGCCTTGCACTTACGTATCACGTCAGTTTTCATAAAAAGAGAGACAAAAAAGGATAAGACTTTCTCTTCAGCCTCAGTGTTTTTAGATTAAAAATCTGAAAGCAAGGCACAGCCAGGTCCAATGACAGGAAGGAACAACAAAGAACCCTCAGAATTTATAAACCACCTTCCTTGCACTTGCTAAGCTTGTGATCTGCGACCTGGGGGTGGCAACACTGCAGGCCAGGACATTAGTTTTGAACTCTGCTGTACTACAGCTTGTCACAGGCTGGATGGGTCAGCAAGCTCTTAAAATGGTGCAGGACTACAACCAATTTAACTTGTCCTCCAATACCGTCAGAAATCCCATGCAGATGTGGGCCTATACACATTTAGGCTATGTACCCTGCCAAGCAGGCTCCAAGCCCTACAAGCCCTAGCTTGCGAGTGTGTACAAATATGGTGGTTTTAAAATCTTTTTTCTGCCTGGTCACAAAATGTTTAATGCTTTGCAAGGTTGAACTATTACAGAGGTATACAGAAAGATGCTTTGATTTCACTAGTGTTCCACAAAGGTACAGACATATACCTGGCCTCCTACCCCGGGGGGGGGGGGGGGGGGGGGGGG